GAGTATAACATATATTTAAAATTCAATTGATGTCCTCCATGGAGCAGTTTGAAAATATTAATCTTTCAGAACATGTTTTCAAATGCATGTCAAATCCCCATCTGTATATGCTGCATGGGAATCCAGGAAAGCTTAGATGAAGATCAGAGGAAATGTTTCAGGCAGCAGAATTTCTTTTTATTTGTTCTTATATGTTATTTCTTTGGGTTTTACAGGAGCGAGTACTTAGGCTTTAAAACCTGACGCAAATTTAGTTACGTATACGGGCCTCAAAACACTACTTTCAATAAGGGCCCCACACTGCTCCGTTACGCCACTGTATTCTGGACTAGATTTCTCGATCTATTTGCCAAGCCAAGCTGTCACTCGTTATAAAGCTTAGGCAATGACCGATTTCTTCGATCTAATTCCCATATTCAATTTTATGTATGTCTTCTACGTAAAGACATAGCAATCAAGGTAAAGCTAAGGACACATTTAAGAGAATACTAGGCAAAGTTACTTACAGAATCATATAATACATTTATTTCCACTTTTGCCTAAAATTTTTCTTTGGTTCTGCAAAAAAGTGGGGGGCCCATATAGCCCATCTCCGCCCCCGGTTTCGCCTGCCCTGACATAGTAGTTAACATGAAAAAGAATAAAATAAAGACTCATTAAAAACAATTTTCTCTTTTAATTAGTTTTCTTCGCTTGGCGTACAATATTTAAAGTTGCAATATTAACTGCTCATATGTTCTGCGTACCTGAACAAGTGCCTCGGTGGACCTTCGGTTGATATGAAATGCACCCTGGGTCAAACCAATGAATTTTTATATTTTTGAATTTTGACCAGGTAATTGACAATGCACCACGCCGTTTGCACGAGTACGGAAACATCAGATTTTCTCAACGAACTGCTTCTTCCATTTTATAAAATCATGGGCACACATTCCTTCATTTTTCATTTCACTTTTTATTTTTAAACATTTTGAAAGTTTACAAAGGTTTCAGAAACAAGCTTTAAAAATCGACCTGTGCAAAAAACAGAGAAACCTTCGTTAAAGAGCATTGCTGTGTACAAAATTGAAATAAACCCTAATAATGAAACTAAATATTAAAATAAAATCTCTTTTTTGCAGTGGCATAACGGAGACAATCGGGGCCATAAGAAATATAATAGGATGGGTCCTTGATACAGGGTCGTCGCTAAGCACTTTCACTTAGAGGGGTGCCAGTCACCAATTTGCTGACAAAATAGGGCGTGGCCTAAGATATTTCAATGTGGGGGTTTGGCATTTTGACGCTATTGATTTTGTTTATCAAAGAGGATGTTCTCGTTCGTCAATCATCGCTTCCATTTTCGAGTGACTGTGGGTACTTTGATTTCGAAGGCCTTGAAACAAAACCGAAAGACGAGGTCCCCCTGCGAGCGGAGCGTTCAGGAAATTTTTGCGACCACGCCCTTTAGATTGTCTTAAAATGCATTTCAGAATATTTCATGCAGTCATTTTTTGCAATCGTTTAGAACTTTTAACTATTTTTAGGCATAGCTACGTTTTATTGATTTCATTCTTAAAATTGAGTTCATTACTACTTGAGGCCCCCTCAACCTCGAGGCCCTGAGGCACTTTGCCCCCCTTTCCTGCTTATAGTAGCTTCCAGTACCTCCAGGATCAACGTTCAGAGATTTCAATAAACTTTGACCCCTCCCTAAACCCCAAACTTTAGGTAGAAATTAGGTTGCCCTGGATATTGGACATTAGATTCTGGACTCATTTGAAGGGAGTCATTTGAAGTTTTTGGGGGACATTTGCCCCTCCGGGACACACATAGCACTATCTTTTCCTGTTTTAAATTGGTGAGGGCTTTTGGGCAATACTTTTAAGTTCACACCCTCATCTTATCCCAACTGTTCGCTAAAGCTATTGCTTTGGGAACTTTGAAAGCAAAACCCGACAAAACTCTACTTTTAGAAAATTTGCCGACAAGAATTTTCTGCCCCCGGCACCCCCCGCTAGCGACGCCCCTGCCCTGATATAGGGACAGCGAAGCGAAGTGAGCTCTACGGAAAAAATTTTCAACCATGCCCTTTAGAACCACGGGAATTGCATGTTGAGAGAAAAAGATGGTACATAGCTGGCAGTAAACATAGCAGTCTTAACATTAAATTGAATTTTAGAATGTTAGTATAGAGAACTAGTTTACGTAACAAACTATTGCTCTTTGGTATGGAATTGTATGATGTCTGGAACCCCCAGAAAAAATATAAGAAATACCACAATACACTGTGTCTTCACTTGAACAAAAAATTGACGTATAAAAACTTCCACCCTATCAATAAGAGATTTTCAACAAAGATTATACTTTTTCCTTTATAAGAAATTAGGAAGCCTGAATTTGGTTCCAATTTCTTATTGATGGAGCAAAATTTTTAAAAAATAGTCAATTTTCAAATTAATAAATACTATTTCATATTTAAATCATCCATATTAATTTCTTAGAGTGTCCTTGCTTATACCTACTAAGCCGCGCAACCCTTGAACCCAAAGATGATTTGTTGAAAACAGTAAGTTAAAAAGGGTTTCTGAATGGAGATATAAGAAATCATCTAAAAATTATTTCTCGCATATAAGAAGCTTTAAGATGAGACTTACTGTATTCAAAGCTTCGGAATGCGCTGTCGTACTGTTTAATGCACAAAATATTGCCGACAAAAGATCTTGACCGTATTTCAATCCAAAACTCTTAATTAGAGTTTTCGATCTATGTTCTGACGTTTTATACTCTGAAGAGTGTCAGTCGAAAAGTTTGAAGATGTTTCAAAATATTTGCTTTTTCGATGTTTTTTCTTCGAAACCATTTTCAAAGTTTTAATTTGGCGATTATGTTTTAGAAATAATGTTTTTGCACAAATTATAGGGAATTAACAAATAAGCAATTGTACAAACAGAATACAACACCAAGGGTTTTGGAGATGTGAATAATAGCAAAAATATTAGTAAACAATAATCAAAAAGTCAGTGAAAATAGCAAAGAAAGCAGCAAAAATAGCAAAGAAATTAGCAAAAAAGGCAAAATATCAGTAAAAAATAATAAAGAAATCAGTAAAAAATGATAAAGAAATTAACAATAAATAGCAAACATGTCAGAAAGAATAGCAAAAAAACAGTAAATGATATTAATGGTCCTAATTGCTGTCCAAAGGAAAACCGAGCCAGTAAATTGTTGATAGCTTATCAAATCTTAGCAAGAAAAATTTTATAGAAAATTCTCAAGCTTTTCATGATAGAAAAAATATACATCCTACGAACGTCCTTAGAGTGCAAAGTTTTAATTTTGCTTTGAAAACATCGTCTTTTATTTAGTTTCAATGACCACGATGTGTTAATGTGAAAAATTTTGTAAATTGCTAATGTGAGAATATTTTAAAAATGGGAAAACGGGCCTTTCTTTACTAATGAGCCCATGGGTAATTGCTTTCTCTTGTCTACTCTCAGCAGGCTTTGGGCCAGGGACTACATAAGCAGGGGTGGGAGATTTTCAAACAGTACTTTGAACAATGCAAAAGTAATTTTGCTTTTAGAATTCTGAGTGCTAAGCCCCTGAAAATATTTTATCCTCGTAAAATGCTCCACGATCTCTCTGCATCCAAATCCCTAAAATCCAATATGCTGGTAAATGCTTCTTTGTTGTCATTAATGCATTATCACCAGCGTCATTATTAGCTGGTCAGGCCACTGCTTGCCTATGGAGTCCCCAACGATCATTTCACCTTGTTTTTGTTTTTATATCCATGTCACACTTGCTGCTGTCTCAATATTTTCCCAGCATCATTTGGTTGGTCTCCCTCCATTTTTTCTTCGAGGTGCCAACCTGTAGGTGCCAACCTGTACTTTTTTGGGCCGTTTCTCATTTTTCATTCTCCCGATGTATCCTGGCCCACTTTATTGCATCCATTCTTTCCAGCATGTTTTCTATTTTCTGTTTTTCTCTTATCCATTCATTTGATTTTCATTGTTCAATACCAAACAATTTTTTCATATATTTTGTGATATTGCTTGTCTTTCTTAGTTCTGGGATCTTCGTCCCCAGACCCTCTTTCCTTTTTCCTCCATTGAAGATTTTATTTAATGACTTAAATAGCACTTGTTAGTTTGTTATGAATCGGAAAAGCCATTAGGCTTTTGTCATTGTCACGGTTTGTGGATTGTTGCCTTTGGAATATCACAAGGTTTGTAACATAAATCTGCATTAGGAAATTTTTTTGCAGGCATTGCATGATCACAATCAAATCAACCAAATTTTTTAACGAAAACCCTTATGCTGACGAATATTGACAATGTTATTGCTTTAAAAACCCCTTGAAAAATGCAAGAAAATCCTTGCTATCTTTAAAAAAATTTTCATCTTAACTTCTAGGTTTTCATTCGAGTAATAGAAATGTCAGAATGAACCTCCGTTAGAGTCAAAAAAATACAATTGCCTTAGCACATGGAAACTGAACATTTGCGCAACTGATTTAGGTGCAGCATTTATCATAGGCATATCAGATGTCGCTATTGAATTTTTTCAATTGAAAATAACGATAGGAGTTTCAATAAAAGCAATGTCAAATTTAAAAAAAATCGTAAGCAAAAATTCCTAATTGGTCATGCATTTGGATTCAGTGTGCGTGTTGATCCATCACAAAAAAGGCAAATGATAGTGGTAAAGATATTGTACAAAATTTCGATTTACCAACTTCTTTCTCTTCACTAATATTGTGACGTTGTCTTTGTGTACTTTTCAGAAACATGTAGGCACGTGCTTCAGTAATTATGGGGACGTAAACTTAGCTTAACAGTTTTAAACTGTATTCAGAAGACTGCAAATTTTTGAGCTTTAGCAAAAGACTTTTAGAAAAAGGTTTCTTAGAAAAAAATGATGATGAAGTTGCATCTACTGGAAAAAGGTTCAACAATATATGCTGATAAAGACTGCCAAAAATACAAAACTAAGAGGATTTTATGAAATCTTACTCATTTTGTTATTTCGCAGCTTCACTAATGTTTCCGGCATTCTATAAGATTGGTCACCAGGCTCTTCTTTCGGCTGAATGTGTTTCAACATTGATTAAAGTCAGCTTCTTCAAATCTGAAAAATTAAGAATCATTGTTATTAGTTAATGAAATAATTTCGATTTGAATTTTAAGGAGTGATCTAGCTACTATTAAATCATTTGCATTGTAAACAATAGGTTTTAGTTTGGAAAAACCTTTATAATAAAGAACAATCGACACCTTTCTAATCGATACAAGAATTTGATAAAAATTTGAAGAAGAAATTGCAAGAGTCATATTCTTTGCAATTTAAGTACCATTATTAATTGTCTCCCTTGCTCGACCCTTTCTAAAAACTGTTTACTGCAGCATTCTAGCAGATAAAACAAGGAAATATCGTTAATTTTCAGGAGGATTAACTACCTTGGTTTTAAATTGCAGTTTTAAATGGCACGGGATACCTATGCTCAGACGGAGCACCATATTTTGATGAATATGCTGGTATCTACGGAGGCAAAACAACAAATCGCGAGCCATAAAAACAAACAAAAGGGTATTGAGAAAAGGAGGGGGTTGCAAAAAATTTCACAGAGGCACTGTCTTTTGTTAGAAAGAAGTCTTGAATCTAGATTTAGTGAGTGGTGAGTATCACCCCTCCCTCCCCCCTTTAGAATCTAAATTTAGTGAGTGGTGTGTACATACCCCTCCCTTCTCTCCTTATATATGAGTAGTAATGTTGTTTTAGGCACAATTATCATTATCTGAAAGACCCTAGCCTTGGCCTGGAACTCAGTCAGGCTTTTTGCTGGATCCGCCCCTGTATGTGGTACTAAAATCGCTACATGTGGTACTAAAATCGCTTAATGTCAAAAATGGTATCCAATTATTACTGAAAATTTCTATGTAGTGCTTAAAGTACTGTTAGTGCTATTGAAATTGTGTTTCACTTAAATAGTGCCTCGTAGTACGGAAATGACCCTATGTAGCACCCAAATTGCTTTGTGTGGTGCTTTTAATGTTTGATGTGGTACTAACAAAGACGAATGTGGTACCAAAATTGATTTATGCAATACTTAATATTTTTATGTGGTAATAAAATAGCTTGACGTGGTTCTAGTCTCATTCTTTAATACTGAAATCGCTTCTGTGGTACCGAAATAACATTCTGTGGCTCTGCCAAAAGATAATATGGAACCGAAAAAATCTTTCTCTTGGGTTTTGAAACTGTATTGTGTGGTACAGACAAAGGATTGTGTGACACCTGAACGGCTCTCTGTAATACTGAAATCGCTTGTTCGATATTAAATTTGTTTTCTGTGGTACTAACACATGTCTGTGTGGTTTCAAAAAAGCTCTAGGTGGAATCTTTTGCGTTGTTATGAAATTATATAACATGATACTGAAACATGTCAAGATGGTACCGAAATTGTTCTATAGAGCAATAAAATTGTTCTTTAGAGCTTTCTATGGCAATGATATATGTCAATATTTATAATAGGTAGCACTGGAATCGTTTTGTATGGCGCTAAAATTTATTCAGTAATACTTGGGTTCATTTGTCTGGTGCTTATGCTTCCGAGTCGCATAGAGCTACTGAAGGAACAGCCTTTAGCAACCGATATATTATTTCATTCACCATTGAGTCTCATTTTTACGAAGTATTGCTCTCTTGTCTTTGATAAATAATATTTCTTTTTTTGCATGAATACATCATCATATGGTCTTCCATTTTATTACTTTCTGTAACCAAACAATGTTACTAAATATAGTTTCGGTAACATCTTTCATTGATTTATATATTCAATATATGAGTAATACAAAGAATTGAAATATATATACAGAAGTATCTGCCGGCTTTGTGTCATTTCTAGCCCGTAGCAACTTTGTCAAGCATGCAGCTCTTATCGATGAAGTTTGAAGTTGTCGACAAAAAATGTTGAGCACATTTTAAGCTTCTTAAGCTACTGCTTGTTGCTTTGCTCCATTCAAAACAAGTACATATTTGCTTAGGAAATTCTCAAGCATTAATATAAAAAAAGGCACCTTGTCTCCTTCAACTAACAAAAGTCTTGCACAGATAGCTATCTAAAACATCCTCTTTCCAACGGAGATAGCAGGAAACAACGAAACCAACAGGTTGCTTTGTACGTTGAAACTTAAAATACGAATGTCCGTACCTGGCAGATCTCATCTCTACATCGGCTCGAATAAATCCGGATCAGGTAGACTGGAAAATGACTGACACGCCACTTCCCGAATCAATTTGAAACCAAAAACTCCATTGGTACCTGCTGGATGGATTAAGTTGAGGATTTGGGAATTCTAAGTATTGCTGGATACCTTAGCCCACGTTGCTTGCTTATCGACCCAAACAACAGATCAAGAGCGAACAGCACAGGCAGACAGATGTTTTAATGACGTCAGCAATAGAAAGCTGGCAAATGAGAATCCGAACACTAAGTCCCTCTAAATCATCGCATATAAATATGCATTCGCGTTTTTGATGAGCTTTCGCACAACATGTTTTGCCATAAACAAGAACTTACGCACATGTGGTTATTTTCGCATTTGCCTTCCCTATTTGTTCTTGAAAGAGGAGAGGTGGGCAATTATAACAAGATATTTGCGTCTCAAATTCGACTTTTTTTATCTCTAGCGGTGCTTCTGCAGAGCCTCGCTCAAATTGCTTTTACAGAGCCTCTATTTCAAGATCGATGGTAAGAGGCAATGATCTATATCATTGGTGAGAGGTCGGCACTAGATCATCTAATGATATAGAATTAAGATCATCATACATCTTTGAAACCTAGGACTAAGTGAAACAAGACGGAGGCTGCAAGCAATGGTGGAACTCGCCTGTGGTTTGCTGTGGCTTTGACAGGGCCCATGCATCTTAGAGGGAGGAGGTTGGGTGTAGGAGCCATGGTAACCCTAAAATTTTCGGTAAAATGGATGAACAAAATATGCCGAAAAACATCGAATGACTGAGCAAACTTACGAGTTAAAGAAATCTTTTCATTTTGATTTACACCCCTTCGTGGTTACAAATGTTTGAACCTTCTACAGCGATTAACAATTTGTGCAATGATAAATCGGTTTTGTGCAGTGAAATTGTGCAATCATAAAACTATTACTTGATTGGATAAATTTTTCGTGTTTTTCGCAAACTTTTTGGATAGTTTGAGGCTTGCTCATGATAGCTTGAGCACATCCATGACAACCAAGATAATTGCGACGTGTTTTTAGATCTCACGAAATAATGAATTCCACTTAAAAACAGAATTAACCAATCCAACAAAAATACAGAACAGTTAAATGTTTTGAGCGAATGCAAGTCGATAGCGGGCTATGCTCGAAACGTCGTTATTTATTTAAAAAAAAATTTTCTGGTACAATTTACTTTCATTGATCGTTATTATAGCATCATATTGTACCGAACGCAATTTAGTACATGCATTAGGTTGCCATAGTTTTTATGATGTCATGTACGTAAGCTGACTATGATCTAGTGCCAACCATGGTGAGAAGAAACTGGCTTGCCCAAGGATTCTGCTAAAATGTTTACTCGTAAAAATAGCATGCAACAATGTGATAGAGTACCTTGAAAACTATTAAAGCTTATTTGTTAATGTGGGTCTACTATGGCAGAGGGGGGAAGCAATCAACCCAAAAATGGAGCCAGATTTACCGGCTTGTCATAAAGAACATCGTTAGTCATATGACCGAGACGTTTTCTACTCTACGTGGAAGGCTGGTCTTTCCACAAAACTCACCAGGCAACACACTTTATTTCTATATGTTGAAAGTAATTTATAGATCTAATATTTTGTCACATCAGAAACAGAAGCAAGATGGAAATGTTGCCAGGAAAGAAGAAAATTTGGTGCTCACCATGGCTCAGTACTGGGGCCAGTACTATTTGATATAATAAATAATTTTTGTACGCTGTCTTTTCTGCGGCATTGCAAGAAAAACGCTGTTAATATGCTTAAACAATATTCAGAAATCGCACATAAATTCGAAATGTTTCTAGTAAAACCAAAACAAATTAGGCGTTTACGAAGTTGCTAGAGATCTTGACATGTTAACCATTGCTTGCGTAATTACTCTCTAGTTTAGAATTTTCATTGACAGATCCCATTATCCCCAGCAATTGGTTATAAATACGGATCCTTTTGAGAAATTCTGCTTAGAGACTTTTGAAACCCAACGAAAGTCACTCTACACATGAGACGAGGCAGATCAACTTGTAAAAGTGTTGATTGTGCAGGCCCTAAATCCGGGAACGACATTCCTTGCAATACAAAAGAGGCTTTTTCATAAGAAATCCCCCTTCACACAAAATTGTATGTAATACTATAGGAAGGTTCGTCATTGATGTTTGGTTACATGCAACTTGCTATCATTTGTAATATTCTAATGTTATTTTGGAAATATTTTGCAAGTAATGGAACTAAGGGTCACAATAAACGTAACTGGAACTGGGCTGTTAAGAGCGAGAGCTCTGTTAAATGAGGCAAAGAAAAAACATGGTTTTATTCCATCACATTTTATGAAACAGCGAAATGTTCTTTTTACTTTACATTTTCTGCAGGCTCTAAAAAGGTATCACCAAACTCAAAATAAAGGAGAAATGGATACGACATGTTTGCACTTGTTAAGTTTTTGAGCCATGTCAGTTGACTTTTCATGCGAGAACTTCCCTCAACAAAGACAGAAAAAGGCGCGATTCTGGTAAGGAATTTGATTTCGCTTTGCTGTCAAATTTCATCATAGTTTGTGTCAATATCACTTACCGTTCGGACTCTTGTCTTTGAACCATCCTAAAGCAAGTTAGGCCACAAAGTTAGGCCGGCCCTTCACAGCTGGTCAGTTGCGAGCTAGGTCACTTTGTTCTGAGATGTAAGTCTAACTAGTTTTAGGGGATTAGTTTATGCATAGTTCTGCTTTCAAACCGTAGATCCTTTCGTGTTTTTAATTTGCTTTTTTGTATTTTTCATGACCCAGGTCTATTTAGATAACAGTATTGTTTTCATGAGCGTACAAGCCTCCTGTAGGGTTCAGCATCGAACAGCAATTCACTTCCAACCTTCATCGAAGTGTTTTATAATCAACTTAAATCCCTAGATAATCTAACGACAGCAACACGGACCTTGGGGATGCTACAAAACGACATTTAAGGAAAACCTCTGTATAAAGCTTTATGTCCCCCTTTCTTCGAGAAATTCATCGACGAGGAAATAAATGTTCTCTATGGACAAATACCAACATCCTGCATTACTTTGTATACAAAAGTGTAAGCTGGGGCTTATTAAATTAATAATGTATGTAAGGTGCTTGATGATTGCATTAATTGTAAAATTTTGAGTTATAATCATGAACCTAAGAAATTATTTTCATGACGAGTAAGAAATTTTTTTCGGACGGAGCATAGCAGCGAAATTCTTCAATTCATTTATCAACAAAAAGATTTTACCTCAGTCATTTTTTTCTTTTCCGGTTGGTCTTTTTCAGAGCTTTTTTCGGGTCAGCTGAGCAACAAATGCATTCTCCTTAGGCGATGCACCTTTGGCATGGGGGGGGGGGGCTTTTGCGAAGTCCCTAGTGCTCGAAAAACAACACGTAACGTACCTATAGGGAGATTTCTGACGGGATTTCTCACAGTTGGTAAAATTCAAAAAGGTTTACTGCTTGCTTGAATGAGCTATCGATGAAATCACCCTACGAACGGGGAATCAAAACGATGAGGAATCAGATGAAAAACTTGATATCGCGAAATAACAACATCAAATCATCATAGAATCATCATAGTATAGAACAATAAATACATTAGAATTACTGATATTATTTGGTAAATATGTAAATATGCAGTGGGCTAGGTGGTGTTTTTAGATAGAAGAGATAGAGAGGAATAGATTAAAGGAGGAGTAAAAAATCGGTAGTAAGAAACATGATCTAAACGGAGAAAGGGTAAGAGCTTGGTGCACAATGTCATTTGGATGGAAATTTTAAGAAGTCTTAGAAGTTGAGCTGACAAGCAACAAGAACACTATTAAAATGTCCGACTATTTTCAGAGGGCAACTTTTCATGAAACATTGGGTAGGGATAAGTGCTCTTTAATAACACTGTGTCTAACTGAATTAGAATACATTTACAAAACGCTTTACATTTTGAAGGTAAATTTAGACTTCTAAGAGATATTTTCAACCAGTACAAACAAATTCATAACTTAATTGTGCAGTGAAAATTTTAAAAATCGTATGAACTAGCAAATGCAATTATTTAACAAATTCAAGCTTACAATTTATATGAGAAGTAGATAAGTTATCACTCGTTTTGGATAAGGATAAAATTGTGACTCCTAAAAGTAATGTGACGATTTAATATATTCTCGCTCGTTTCGAAGGAAACCAATAAAAACATAGCAGTGGTTAGTAGGGAATCTTGTTATCAAAATTACATTGATATTAGACGGAAACCCGAGCTCTGCTTCTATAAAATATTGCAGAGAACTTATAAGTTAGAAACAAAAACTTCAATCGTTGAAGGAATCATCTGGAACCTGTTTGAAGGCAACAATAAATCCATACTTCTCGCCATTGTCGTTCGATACATTGGACACGTAAAAATGGCACTATCCAATACAAAGGTGCGCTAAATTTGGAAGAAAGTACCAAAAACCACGAGGAAAATCTTTATTTCTTTTGCTTTGCGAGTGAAGGTGCTGATTTGCAATTTGTCTTTGGGCCATATGAACTGTACTTATCACCTGAAAATAAACGAAGCAATAAAGAAAGGGGAAGCAAAAATGTGCCTTAGTTTCCCAGGAAAGGCCTATGCAAATGAAGGTCAACTGTCTCCTAAGAACATTTTATAAATTAAGGCAGCTTTATTCCGCAAAAATATTATTGTTAAACGGAAAATCTCCCTACCTTAAAGCCAGCCATTGAGCCCGCAAACATGTTTATCAATTCCCTAGCAGTCAACATTCTGGCTTGAAACAAGATTAATATACTTTCCAAAGCTTCAGTATTCAGTGTTCAGCTGACCCTTTTATAAAATTGGAATAAAAGTCTACTTAAACCAAGAGAGAGAGCGTGCTTCCTCGACATTTGTCACCGAGGATTCAAAATTTGTTTTCAAAGAAATTTGTTTCAAAGTTTGTTTTCAAAGCCTTTTGCCAGGTACTGCAATATAAACATAGAAAGTTGCAATGAAAAGAACTTTGCTTTGTTGCTAATTTTAATCAAAATGCATCCAATGTTTTTATCCAATGCTTCGGTTACACTAATTGTACCTGGTTAGATCATTTTACGTCAGTAACAGATGAGCCTTCTCTACAAACTTCTTTCTAGCGTTACTTAGCGATACCCACCTTCTCTGGGGCACTCAAAAACAGAATAACCTCTGTAGCTATCTTCAGGCTCAAAACTTGGACAGCTTCTGTACACGTCATTGCAGATTTCAAGGCAAGGCTTCAGGCTACCATCGTAAAATGTCACCATGCACAGCCATCTTTTGTAAGACACCTTAAAAACAAAATGTATTTGCAATTTTAAAAGACGCCATCTCAAAATGAATAGCTTGCATAATATGTTACAATCAAATAAAATGAATTCTAACGTTGCCAAATGAAGGAGCCTCGCTCTCAATAATCTAAAGGGCGCCAAAGCTAAAGCGTATATTGACGACAATTTTCGTGTCATTGGGCAAGCAAGGTCTTCTCATCTTTTTATAAACAAAATACGCTGCTTGTGTAAATAAGAAAAGTACGCATTCCCTCTTCGAACCCTCTACTAGGTATGAGGTTAGCGGCCTCAAGTTACTCTCTATTTGATAGTTACCCAATATTTATACTTTGAGATATGTAATGTTTCTTCTTTTCCGTGCTTTTCTCAATTTTGCAGCACCGAAGACTAAGCTAAAAAAGATTAAGTCAAAGACTCTCATAACCTTGAAAATCTATCAAATCTATTAGGCAAAGACAGGTTCCGCTTACGACTTGCACTTGCGACTTGTAAAAAGAGTAATTTATTGTTCCACTGTCTCCTCCTTTGCCCACCACCACGACAAGGTAAGGGGTAGTCATCACACTCATTTCATTAATATTCTAAACCTTAAAATTTACTTTGTGCTCTTTAGTACAGTCAGTACGTTATCGATAATTCAATAAATTTTCTCACTCAATCTTTATCAACAACTTATTAATGAATCCTCTATTAATACTCTCAAAGCCTGTTCTAAAAGAAAATCAAATTTTGTAGAAAATATAAACAAAAATCTATCCCATGATATAATTAATAGTGCTCATTGCTAAAGGTTGTTTCCACAAAAGAGTCTTACTGATCTTGCTCTATCTAAAACGTTCTTCCAACACTTTGGGTCACAATGACCCACCATCAAACACGGTAACTGGATTTATTGCATGTAAATAAATCATAAACTCTACATTATCAGTAGAATAAAAAGTTAAAAATGGCACAGCAAAAGAATACAACATCTTATTAGAATATTGAAATCAAGGAGAGTATTTTGCAAAAGGCCAAGCTCCTTCATTTGTTGTTTTATTAAATACTGTTATATTTGAACAAAGAATTGTCATATTTTAAGGGAAGCTTGGTGTTAAAAGCAATGTTTATTATGTATTTCAACTTTTATGAACCTTAACAAAGACTAAATTAGGGCGAAATGTATAGATACTCGAGGCTTCCAAACACACTAAGCAGCTGTAAACCATCCACAAACTTAGTCTTGTAGGTTGCACTTCTTCATACTGGCCTCCAGGTAGGTTTGGACTGGTATTAAAGATATTAGTCTAATACCATTTTTATTCTCAAAAAACGGAAGCAATTCCAAAAACAATAAAAATTGCCCTATCAAAACTTAAGCTATTCCAAAAACGATAAAAATTGCCCTATCAAATGGTCATTGTGCACAACTCCTTTAAATCAATGTATCTGCTACAACCATTGATTGGTTAAAATTAGGTTAGAAATGATTGACTACTTGGAAAATACTGCAGCACCAAAACATTCAAAATCATGTTTTGTTTCATTTCTTAAACATTTTTATTTTTTGAGGAAATTAAGTGGGTTGAAAATAACAAGACTAAATGAAATGTAATTTAAAAATTTATACTCTGTTTTTAATCATTAAACCGTGTTAATGAAACTTTGAAGACAATTAATAAATATGTACAAAAGGCACATTTTTTGACTCTGAGCACATCTACTTCCCTTAACTGTGCAAGAAAAGAATAGGTACATAGTTTGTTCAAAGGATAACTTGTAGGCAAAAGCTGCCTTTCTGCATAGAAATCCCAACCATATTTTTATCCTATGGATCTATTAAAAATGAAAAATATAAAATGCTAATTGTTCTTCTTTCAAAAGAAAAAAATAAAAGATAAAAATTAAACATCCTTTTTAACATAAAAAAAATTAAAAGCCATCCCTGGGTTGTTATAACCAAATTTGATATTTTATGCCAAAATGATAAAATATTTCATTTTCCAACCCTATGATTCTTCAAAAATTATGTCTCCTACATTTGCATTGATGATTATGTAGATTAAATAGCTTCTAGTGTTTGAGTAGTGTGAGTTTTTACATTCCTTTCTCTCTAATTATTAAAGGGTTAAAATTACAAGTACAAATCTTTTCTTCACAAGACCTACACCCAAGAACTTGTCAAGAGACAGAATATGAAATTGATGATATGGGAAAATTGATGGAAAATTGTGACAGATGGCATGAAAGAGTCAGATCACGTAAGGGTAAAGTTTTTTTTACAGAGCATTGCAGCTTTTTGAGAAAGTCACAAAACTATGCAGGTTTTTGAAAAAGTAAAGCTATTTTTCAACACATGTTATGCATTTATTTTGTCTGGGTGTTGGGAACCATGCAAAATAGGCCTAAATCTAGCTGCAAGGCATATTTTCAGTCAAATTGAGAACTTAAATCTCTTAGCCATGCTATCCCAAAATATGATTATTATAGCTATCCATCTCTAATATTGCTTTTAACACATTTTGAATGGAAACAGTTCTAGTACTGGTTAGTCAAAACTGTGATATATGACACAAATAAAATATGACGTAAAATATGATACATGAGTTGTTTACCAGCAGGTGCCATGTAAGGAAAATATTGTCCAAAGTCAGTGACAAAAATTTTGAGGATAATTAACTTCTATTTATTACCTAAACTCTTTGCTTTGTCATTCAAGGTGCAAGACCTAAGCCTAGGACATCATCTAAGACACGGTAAGACAGGAGAAAACTCAATTATTGAACTTAATCCTCAATTTCACCCCCAGACCCAAAATGTTTGCAATTAAATAAGTTTGCAAGACCTGCATGAGGCTGACATGACTGAGTAAGTTCTTACCAAGAATCTCTGCAGATTGGGAAGGAAGGTGAAAGGGGTAAAGTTAAACCCTCTGCATGATCTCTTTCTAGATTCATTATTGATCTGGTATTTCTGGCATTTGAGCTGCTATGAAAATCACCAGTCAAATTATGGGGGTAGGTTGGCTCATTCATGCATTTCCATTAGTATTTGCAATTTTTGCTACCTAGTGATCTGAAGGTAGTTTTAGGACACTGAAAAGCCATGATTATCAAGCAGTGTCATAGATCTTTCTCTCGATGAATCAAACCTTATTATTTCGATGAGTGGAATTACAGCAGAGCTGGTAAAGTCTCTAACCCCAGCACCTTGGACTTGGAGTCTGTGTGTTGCTGAAGTCACAAATAATCACAGAAAGATAAATGATAGCTTTAGGAATTCTTTTTGAATATACCATTGCATTATGCAACATAGAATTCAAGAGAGAAATTCGGTAAATGTTTTAGTCCACAAAATAGTCCAAAAAAAATTAAATTTAGAGATATGATGCACATTCTTTCTGTGTATATTCCACAAATAACAATCAAATTATATAAATTCCTATGTGATTGGTGAATTGACAAAACTAATTTTAGATTTGTTTCTAGAACTTTCTAAGCTTTTCACTTTTCAACAGAGAAAACTTTGCACTGACGATAATAATTGTAAGAAGGAATATAGCTTTAGGGTAGTGGAACAATACTATTTAATATCATGGTTCCACACTTTACCTGCCAGCTCTGCAACACCCAGACCCTAACCACTAAACCATTTTCACACCAGTTTTGAAGTTACTTCTTAAGTGGCTCACTAAAGTCTTTTATGAAAATTTGCACAATTTTAATGGTGCATAAATCAATCCAGAACAAATGGGTTTTTTGTGGGTGGAGCAAGATCCAGAAAAAGAGTTGTTGAGATATGAATGATATTTTAGCTATTTGGCAGATCAGTCAAATCATGTGATCGTTTTCAGACCTTCTTAAATATAATATTGTCAATGGAAGGTATTTTCACTTAACAAAGGTTATATTTATGTAAAATACCTTCCACTTGCCTTTGAAAACCCCCACAATTGCTCATCTGAAGAAGCATGTTAGTTACAAAATCGAACGGCTTACCTATCACTAATGCCACCAAATGTTATGTCATATGTGTGACAGGTTATTACAAGATTTTCTTGACTTACCAGACAATTTGTACAGTTTCTGTCCATAGAGTAGGGCAGCTTGCAGTCAAAACGACCAAGAACTGACGCCCATATTTCTGCCAAATAAGATACTGCTTTTAGTTTCGCTACAGCGATTAAAAAATCTTCGCAGCCAATTTCAAATTCTACTGCAGTATGATTATCCAAACGCAAAACTTCCGTCCAATTTACATCCTCGCAAATTCTTGCATCGATCTTGAAGAATGTGCTTGAAAACGTCAAATTTATCTTGAAATCGCTGGAACTATTACTTTCGGTGCATGCATTGTGAGTGAGATTGGATTTCTCTGATAAAGTTGTCTGAGCAAACGTTAGGCCAGTCTTGTGCAAAATAAGCAACCATGGCAGTAAGTACACAATAAGCGAAAGTTTAAGGTGGCGGGCATTTCTTGTGAGATATATCCTCAGCGATTCTGTTTGTGAATTTGCATCATGTTGATGGGTGAAGAGTGCTACCCTACCTTCCGTGTTCAACATAAGAAATGCTTTCCAGCCTGGAGCGTGCCTTCACGTCATGTCATGTCAAGAGTAGGTCAAAGTTTCCTCACACGCATCGTCGTATATAGAGAAAGTTCTCTTTGAAAGCAAAATATAATTACAAGAATATTATTAAAGATGATTATACCTAATCCGTTTTCAAGCCAATTTCATGTCGATTGTCGAACGAACCTCTTCAATGCAATTATTTTACTGCCAATAAAGGATGCATTATTTTCGGAGACAACGATGAGTTGCATTGCATGCAAAATCTTGACCAAGATTACAACGCGGGTGTAAAACGCAGACCGCGAAAAGATATGATAATGGTGATGCAAGTATGGGTGTAACGATAATGATAGGCTTGCTAATGTCCTAGCCAAGAGTATTTTGTCAATTTCATTTTTTTACAATATTGAGTCCTTGTACAAGTAAAAGACGATCAAGATTAGATGATTCGAATAAACCGACGAATGCTAAGGCATGATGCGGCGGGGACAGGTACCTCAGAAAGGGCAAATTGGTGCAGCGGTTTTGGGGTCTGCAGGGCCCTTGTTCTTCACAATTTCTATCTTTTTTCTTAGGTGTGGAGCCCCTTTTTGCTACCATAAGCGCAGGGTCTGGGGTCATGGCCCCCTGAACCGCCACTGCTTGGGTATCAAAGTTTGCGGCTAAAACAAATCGGGAATCGTCGTTTAGCCAGTGAGCAGAGGCGCCGGAAGCTTCATGATGCGGCGGGGGCAGGATTGCCAGAAAGGACACCTTGGGGTGTCAAAGTTTGCTGATGAAGCAGATCGGGAATCGTCGTTTAGCCAATGACGAAGCCTCGTTGTAGGTGAAGGCCCTGTCAAGGGAGAGAGGGTCGGTAGTCTGGGGGCGTAGTCTGAAATGAAGGCAACACCCATAAAATACATTTGAATCAAGACTACAGTAAAACTTCAGTCTCGAAATTCCTTTCACCCAAACATCAACCATCAAGGAAGGCTAGTCCCAATCCTACTTCACATTTAAAAAATTTTGTTCAGATGACCATCTACATGGCTTGCTATAAGTTTCGGATATAACTCCTCTGAACTTACTGTTATTTCCCTTTTTCATTTAAAGTTGGTACCATCTGCAGCTATATTCAAGCTATGAAAATCAACTAATTTAAATTACCGACGCTAAATATAATTTGAACCAAATATAACTGATGTTGCAACGTATTTCTTGTAAAGATCATAAGTATTGAACCGTAAAATTCAGAGATTTTTTATTTAATTTTTGTTAAATTAGTAATTGTACTTACTTTGCTTGGAACTGAAATCCATATTGGGCTTAATCTGTTTTACAAAATCTTGAGAGCAGAAGGAATCATATAATTCTATCATTGTCAAAAAGGCTGTTACATAAAGCCTGGCTACAATTATATAGATATCATTTTCTGGCTTAGTTGCTTATAGTGCCGCCAATAGGTTTCGGAGGCCTTGCGGCAGAATCGAAAGAGGAGGCTTTTTGGGAGCGAAGCGAGCAGGAAAAGTTTGGCGAAGGGGGGTATGTGCCCACTTTGACCCCGGAAAAATACGCCTTTGCTTGAATTAAAGACATCATTGATGCCTTGACTAATATATCGAACATATGCGAGCCAAAGTTAGTAGCAATCTGAAATCTGTTCAGCATTATCATGAAAGGTAAAGAGGACTTATCAACAAAAATACTTTTGATGGTCAAATTGCTTTGCAAATCTATTTTCAGTTCTCATCAAAATGGAAAATATTGACTTTTGTCTTCGATATTAAGAGATGCTTGAAATCTAGATTTTATTAGCATTCAGAATATTGATATGAACTAACATTGCTCGGAAATCAATTTCTTTAAAAGGGCACTTTGCTACCCCCGCTGCACCCGTGACTCCGGCGCCCTTGGCAGTGAGGAAGAATGGTTGTAGGCGGTGGCCCTACCCAACTAAAAGAAAAAGGATCGGAGTCCTCTTCCGGGGATCGGAGGTCTGGCGTTCGGAAAATTTTGCGTTGCTACGCACTAAAATATCTCGGTAAAGGTAGCTACGCCCATAAAAAAACATTAGCATCAAGATTACAGTTCAACTTCATTCTTAGAATTTCTTTAACCCAACATCAACCTTGGGTGGGTGATCCCATTCTACCTTACATAGAAACAAAATGTTGTCCTGGTGACCATTTACATGGCGTTTGGAGCTCCTCTGAACATACTGTTATCTTGAAAGCAAAAGATTAATATAATTCTGTTATTGTTACATCTGATCTTTTTGAAACTGTAGATTGCAGCAGGGCTCCCGTAAGAATCTCACAGCAAACTCAAATCATTCAAGATCTAAAGACTTTAAGAAGGTTTCCATAGTTGCTCAAAAGAATACGTCTGCATTCTAACACTGCTTACCAAATTCAAGCCGAGTCTTCAGGATATTCTTTAAAGATTTTTAACAATGGTATTCAAAAGGGTCCATTTGGACTACCATGTTGCATGAAAACTTCTTGACTCAAATAACTTGAGGTTATAACTGGTCAGAGAAACTTTGCGTTTGATCAACATGAAACTTTATTAAACCCCCGTACTTAGCATAGCCGTTTGGAGCTAAACTTTCTATAAATTGCTGAAATTCCGCCATGAAAAATCCAGAACAAAATTTCTTAGAATTTCAGATTAAAATTGTTTCCCATAGCTGAGTATGCTAATCTCAGCTTGTGAATTATGGAGGACGACAAGCTTCATGAATTCACGAAATTCGTGAACTCAAAGGCATTTGAATCTTCAGTGAACAAAAAAGAAACAATATATCACCTCAACTTGATCATCATTTATCAGAGTAACAATATATTACGCAATCAACATGATCTTCAACGTACGAATTTTATGGAGTCATATAATAGTTCAAACATGAATTTTCTTGCCTAGACATGCAACACTTTTGTGTTGTCTTATCACCCGCATGCAGGCTCGTAACATCTAGTTTATTGCAATTCTACAGACAATTCTGGTTTAGAATTTGAGAATGGGTGAACCAGGGATCGTAAAGCATCCGTTTATGGTTTTGGCCAGGTCGAGCTATGCACTCCTGACTGGTTGAGTACGTTCCCTATCGAGTGACCCCATCTCCAGCTCCGGCCAAACTCTATTTCACCGGATTCTATGACTCACTGCTCAATTTTTGGTGCAACCTACCACAGTAAGTTATTGTTCAGGTATTAATAAGGGTGCTTTACAAGACTGGTGGGGCGGCGGCGTATACACTAGCAACCATCCACCAAGAAACATAGTTCTGGCTTGGATAGTTGCTTCCAAGAGATGAACCTATGCACAACAACCCCACACTACCTTCATTCGAGATCAAAAGTAACAAAAGTAAGACTAATGCATCGTTATCAAAAATTCTCCATTTGATTGCTGGATTTGTAAGAGACGAACAATATAGAAAGTCAAACAATGGACAAATGGAACCCATAGTCTGCAGACAAGAAACAAAGCTCACTCTTTTAGGAAACAGTAGCCATCTTTGGGGTAAGGCATCTTTGATATAACTATTTACACGATCATTCTTATTGACAAAGAATGGGCTAAATTTAGATGGGCGATTTATACAAACAAAATTGCTCAGCTGAAAACGTAACTTGCTACAGACCAACAAAACAGCTAATCAGCGATACACTCCATGAAAGAAAATTTTTATGAATTACAGAAACCCATGAAATATTGACGTACAAAAGTGTCCATTGGCAATTATAAGTGAAGTCCTTTATATTCTGTGCCATCAACAAAACTAAGTTAGAACTTGAAAACATTAGTCACAAAACTAAACAAGATAGCGCTCCGTGAGATATCGGGGTACGTATTACTCTTATGTCTAGAAACTGGTTAAAAAGAACTCCGCTAATAAAGTGTCTTTCAAGATTGTCCCAAAAAGATGTAGAAGCCAGTGGAATAGAATTTGCTATGGACACAATCGTTTCGAGTAGGTTCTTGTTCTTGATTCGGGGAAACGACTAGTGTAAAAATATTAGCATTAAAAAGTTTAGGGATACACAGCATCACACGGCGAGAATGCATCAGCTGCATGATAAGAAAGATACCATAGTCACTGAAAAGAACAAATAGAGAACCATCCTCAATTCATACAATGTCAACCTCTGGTTACTTTTGGAAGTGCCTCTAATTATTATAACGTTCTTCCAGTAATTTAACGGCATTTTCTTTCTGGACCGCACCAAAAAATGCGTCTGAATATCAGACACGTATTCTTTGCACCTGATCAAAAGGCTCATTCCTGCAACAAGAGCTTTCCTTAATATTGACCCGTTTCTCTGGTGTACCAATGTGCAAAGCAAAGATGATCTATGCTCTAATGTTAATGAGGCTACTATTATAAGTTAATGGAGACAACTGTGTTTAATCTACGTGTAAATGATTAATAAAAAGAATATGCTTCTAAAACGTCATCATGAGCATCAACAACGACCTCATGAAAATTCCCACCGCATTCACGCATCATTACTGTTCTCAAAAAGTGTGTCTTGCGAATCTTCATCGTCTACCTCGTTCTCAGACTCAGAGCCAGAACCAAAGGAAGGAAGTGGTGACGGCGTGTGAGTATGCTGGCCTGAGCGATTACTGTCACTCGTGAATGAGGTTACAGAGGATGCACGTGAAGTCGCGCGGTGAATGCGATTCGAAGAGTTCGGAAGTGGGGAGGAGGGGGCCTGAATTGGAACTGCCAGCGGCGAAGATGGGGATCGGGCTCGTTCTTGTCTGCAAAAAAAGATGAATTCATTAGTAATGGGGTTGCGTGAAATATGCTGATTTGGTGGGACAAGCAAAAATTGTAATTAACAAATTAAAGAGAATCACTTTTTATTTTAGAAAACAAGAATATTTTGAACAGAAATTATCGTTGATATGCAGAAAAAAGAATGAAGAATCACAGAAGATTTAAATAAATTTCGAAAAATGAAAGAAAATGTGATTCGAACATAGCTCAGGTATTTTGTTCAGTCCAAAACGACGGAAAATAACGAAAATGTGACATCGATTGTGAGAAATAAAGGGTATCAACAAAATATGATTGCTGCAGGTCTCCTTCTTTCATAAATATGCAGGTCTCAGTCAAACTATGTAACACTCCGTTACATTCCAGAGATGACAAAATACTGCCACATCAAACTCGCATTCATTTTTAGCCTAAAGTCTAGATTATCACAAGTCCATGTTTTACACAAAGTCTTCAGTTTAACCCTGATTGCTTAAGCACTCTTCAGAGTAGCTCGTCAAAATATTGTTCACACCTTGTGTGTCTAAACGGAACAAAAATCGCAAAATAAAAAAAAAGAATTTCATGCATGTGGTAACACTTACCGGTCCGTGGGGATCTTTACAATCTCGTTTTCAATGCTGCCACCAACAGCCATTTCTGATGAGGGAAAATCCAGTTCAATATTGTTATTCATATAAAGTTTTAAAAAAGGCCTTTGAAGAACGGATCGCTACACACACAATATGAGCATATACTAAAACTGCAACCTTTTTGTGGATTATGATAGGGACAGACTTCAATGGTCTGCGCAAAAGCCCTCAAAAGGGAAAAGAGGGAGAAGCTAAAAGAAAGGGAGGTGGGAAAAAATTTGTTGCTTTTCATTTCGAAACAGAACAAGCGAAAACCTGGAATGATGCAATAACGAACCGCTTTATGTTAGACTCACTCGCATAGGTTGCTTTTAATATTCCTTAAGAAATTAAAGGGGGCAGGGGGGGGGGGGGGGTTTCAACGGCCGCTGTGAAGACGGTGGTGCATGTATGCAACTGCATCTGTATGGACACATTGTCTCTAACTACCTCTTAAACAAAAAATGCCGAGTCTTTACGCTAACAGGTTAAGGTGATACTCACGTTTGACGTACGGTTCAAGAGCTTTGGGGACCATTGCTTTAGCAGCATCGAGCTTCTCCGGCGGGCATTCGCCACTCTCAAGGCCAAAAGCCATGCCCATCCTTTTTAGCACCTCAATGTCATCGTGGATTTCAAACGTGTTGTCAAAATTGAACAGGTATTCGGTTCTAAAAAAGATATTCACAGTCATTGACGTAAACACAACGATTAGTACTTTAACATAATTTTCAAAAATATATCTTTACATAAAGGAGGGAAAATAATTTAATTGAATGCAATATTAGTTAAAAAATTTCAAAGCCGATGCTATTCGATGCCGACTGGCATTCCACCACTGCAGAAGGGAAGGTTTCTAAAAGGCCCAACAGATGACGATCCAGTTTACATTCGAAACAGACAGGCAATTTGTCTCAGTGAGATGCAACGCGGCATCATTGTCAAGGCAACCGCCGGATGATTAAAAAATCATCTAGTAAGGAATAAGTAAAATGATTTCATCACAAAGTCTAGATAGAATGAGAGCAACTTTTTAAAAGGCTCCTTGAAGACAACACGACACCCTGAAGTACATTAGAAGTGCTGGATCAAAGATGGACAAAGGGGATCATTGCAAGACGTACTTGTCGCTAGAAATACTGCAATCAATCACGGTCTTTTTACTCGTATTTACAATGATGAACGGGAGCTGAATGGCGCTGTTTCGATCTGGAGTGGCCCCTTTCCTCTCCGTCTCCTTGTTCCTTTCAACCAGATTTTTGAAGGCGATTTCCTGCAAGCAAAAGGTATCTGTTGTTTCAAAAGCAGAATTAAGAATGATACGGGGGTTGATGAAAACTGAAATGTCGTTGATGATACTGGTCTTGAAGATCAGGGGGTAAGGGCTTAGCTATTATAATGATGGAAAACAGCGATTACAAATAATGACTATGTTTTAATCATTGCGCAAACGATAATCATATTAACAAATGTAGACAATTGCAGATCCACACAGCAGGTGTTGTTACGAAAGTGGAACTGGTAAGATCCAACTCCACATCTACGCCTGTATCTTTAATAAAAAATCCACTTCTACGCCCGGTGGAACCGCTTGAGAAAAAGAAACACGAACCTGTAGAATAAGCTCTTGTAGTTGGAGCTGTTTTTGTCGAATTTTCTCCATTCGCTCTTTTTTCTGATCCTGTGAACGACAAGTATCCTCATAAACAAAGCCCATATTGGGAAACACTATTCATAAAATCTGAATCAAAAAGTGAGGTGGGGGGGGGGGACGCCCTCAATACTTTTGAGGAAAATGGTCTTTTGTTCTAAAACAATGGAAAATGTGACGTAATCTTATTAAAACAATAGGCTTGCCCCCCCGAACAATTTTACCAAGTGTCCGCCCCTGAGATGAGCAAATGTTACAAAGGCTACAAGTATGTCACAATATTTTTAGGCATTTGGACAAAAAAACCAAGAAATCTATGAAGATTGTCGCTAGAAGGGGAACAAACCTCTAAGTACAGACATTCTTGAGCGGAATTGGTGGGTAGGCCAACCCAGCGAATTTCCTTCTTTTCTTTAGTGATAATGTTCATTGCCATCAAGACATTCAGAGCATCGTAAACACGCCTTCTGATGTTTTTTTGGTCGTAGGACTGCAACAAAAAATGCAACCTTTGATCTGAGTTCGTCCAAAGCAGAAATTTGAAAAAGTGCCCTTCACAACAAGATGAGGCTGGGCAGTAAACGGAGAAAAAGAAAAACAAGTAGCTGTGGTGCGCTGATAAAGGAACGCATATGGGCTTCATCAAAGAAAGAATATCGGTTTCTTCTTAACAATAGTTTTCCACTTATTAGCATAAAGGTGTCAATGACCAATTGTAAGCAATGAAGTAATTAGTGGCTGTTTTCAATTCCCAAACAAAAGGCGCCAAGAAATGGAGTGCATAGGAGCCTAAGAATCATTTTGGCAATTTTTGTTTCGGAATATCAAATAAATCCAGTCCTTTTCAAATCCAATAGACTAGCTTCTAATATGGTGGCAAAAAGCATTTTCTGCGAACATACCGCATCAGATGATGGCACATGCTTTGTGGGGTCACTGAACTCCTGGACAAGCTCATCCGCAACCTAGAGAACCAAATAACAACCCAGCTGATATTAAATCCATATACGGAAAAGATAAACCAAACATTTAAAGGTTAAATATCGATTGAGGAAGACAAAACGACTGTGTTGATAGCACCGATGGGGCGTGGACAAAATAAATTGACAACAATTATGATTATAATGATAGCGTCGTTGCTGCTGATGGCGAGCAGTTGCTTCAGGCTGAATGCACAAGCGCTTGAAGTCGATAACAATATGAAATCCCAAGTATAAAAGGTTAGTCAGCCATGAATCAACCGAGGGGTGAATTAACACTGAATGAACAAGGATCAGTTGCATTGCTATCAGTAGCAACTACCAAGGCAAGGGGATTTCCTGATGAGTGTTTCGATTTTGTTTTGTATTTTGTTATCAAATAATACAAGACAAAATGATGTCGCGTTTAACATTTTTCTAGAGGGGAATCCCAAGCAGGGGAATGAAAGGACAATCGAGCGGACTGATCGCAAGTCTCAATTTGAACTTAATGCTAAAGATGATGAAACGTTTAAAGTATTTCAGACGAAAACATTGCGAACCTCATTGTATGTAGTGGTCTGCTTCTGTTGAACTTTCTCGCAAACTTTCATTGAAAAATGTCTCAACCCTTTGCCGCCTTTGTCAGTTGACCGAGCAGGCGTTCTCTTTCGTTTTCTACATGCAAGAGAAAATATCCCAATGCATTACATGGTATCTTAAAAAACAGGTTGAATTAAGGAGGAGTTGAAGGCAGAAAAAAGAGCAGAAAAGAAATAATGGTATTGTGAACAGTTGTTAAGAAAGTTCTGAATTTGAATAATATTTGATGGAAACGTAAAACTTTTTATCACAATAAGATGTGAGTATGAAATGCAGTAGCAAGCGACATATATGTGGTTGTAAACTGCAGCTCAGACATAATTGTGAATCGCTAACTTTTTGAATATATAATTAGACATACCGATCTCCACTGTCAAGAAGATCTGCTTCGTACTCTGCCCTCCGCTTTCTGCTGTTTGGGGTTCCACTGGGAATGAAAATTTGCAATAAACAAGCGAATTCAACATGTCTCACTAACCGTGGCTTACGTAGACTCATGAAAGGTCCACACGAATCTTTGACGTCAAAATGAATAATATACTTGATGTTTGACAGTTTGGTAAAATATTTTGCCAATGACATTTACTTTTAGGCAGTTTGAGGAAGCTTTTTATAGGTGGGAACCAGGGGCGGACACTTTGTCAAATATTGGGGGGGGGGGCAAGCCTATTGTTTTAATAAGATGACGTCACATTTCCCATTGTTTTCGAACAAAATACCATTGTCCTCTAAATTATTGGGGGGGGGGGCCGTCGCTGGTGGCCCCCCCCAAGTGTCCGCCACTGGTGGGAATAAGAAGTAGTTTCATAACAAAATACTAAATTGCTTTTGGGAATTTGGGGGCTAATCACTGCCCCAGTGTGAATAACAAATGTCTTACAAATAGGTAAAAATGACCGTATTTGGGGCATTTGCCGTTCACTATATTCTGATCCTAGCAAGTCATTTGCAATTATAATCAAGTCATTAATAAAGTAGGTTGGAAGCCGAAAGAATCTCACCTTTGCCAGGTATGAGTGGGCGAGGAAATGATCGACTCCGCAGAAATCATTCTTGCGCCCAGCTGAATGCTATGACCAGCCTGAAAGGAAATTAAGCATCGCTTTGAATTTTCTCGTAAATCAAGGAGCTAAAAAGCAGGTGCCTGTCCTTCAAATTTCTAGGTTCTCGATTGAGAGATTTGTTTCCTCAAAATTCATTAAGTAAATCAGTTTAGACGTTGTGATCTGTGTTTCTATTTGTCATGATAACGATATAATGAAATAAACTCAAATAAATCACGTCCAAGATGGAAATGTTGGTGTGAACAGGATGAATTGTCTGCACACTTCTCCTTGCAAGGACTGTAAATTATTTTATCATGTTACACACTTCATTTGCTAACTACATCATCGTTATTTTGGATGTAGCACCACACGCTATGCACATATTTAATTGGTTTTTTTTCTGTAAAATGTCGACTAGCAAAATGACTGAAAACACTCAGGCCTAAGAAACTGCTAAAAATCGGTCAAGCGTGAGAAAACGAATCTCTTCTCCACCTTGACCATTATTGGTAAACACACGAAAAAGCTTTTTATGTATATTAAAAGCTAAAACTCTTGTTTGTTTATTCAATCTAATGTAGGTGATGTAGGTTGCAAGAGCGGCGCGCTACAAGGCAGCACCGTTTATCGAAGGTTAAAGTAGTAGGGCGTTAATTAATCTTTTTTAACGCATAAAAACATATCTTGAACATTTGACGTATTTTGCACATTTAGCAACAATTCATCAGTGTATTTCAGGCAAATTGTTACAAATTCTGACAAACATTGTTATGACGTGATGACTATAGAACTTCAGTAAAACCGTGATTAGTCGTCTAATGACAAGTCAAAGAAACATTTTCTTGAACTTTTTTTCGTTTTCCTTGGTTTTGACATGCTCTATGTGCAGTAAAATTCATAAGAAAGTCGAACTCCGTTGCTATTGGTTTTAATATGCTTTGTGTACAGAAATGAACAATAAAATGAACTCGATCTAGCAACCGTGGATAAAATATCAGAGAGGAATCTCACCTGGATTCCTGGCTTGGGTAGTAATACTGGCTGTGTTTGTACAACTAATGGTCGTGGCAACGACTGGCTGCTAGTTTGTTTTTGTGAAGGGCCTAGAATATAAACCACTCATTTTTGCAAACGTGCTTAATTCATGATAATAAAAACTGATTAAAATAAAAGAAAAAACTCATCTAGATATTCGAGTCGTATGGAGGCTTTCTACTTCTGGCAGTATCATTTAGCAGAATATGACGATTCTGTATAAACCGTAAATCCTCGAATTGGCTCCCTCTACAAATTATCAATCAGCCCCCCTTGAATAAGCCCCCACTGCTACCGTAAATTCTCGAATTGGACCCCTCAATTTGACGGTCTTTGCCATCTGAGGTTGCCTATGGTGTTTTATTTAATTACCACAACAAATTCATACTTTTGGTAGTAATTAATTAAATGCTCATAAAGAAATTCCTACTAAATTAAAGAGGTCTTTTAATAATGTCTTCTTGATTTCTACAATAGTTTTGTAAGCCCTCCCCTCCACGTATAAGCCTCCCCCTCGAATAAGCCCTCATCCAAAAACATCAAAAATAAATAAGCCCCCAGGGGGCTAATTCAAGGATTTACGGTAAATAACAAAAGACAAGAAAATTTAGCTAAAGACGAAAAAGAAGCACTTTGCATAAAAGTTGTTGTTGAAGTTCATCACAGCCCAAAATCATCAGCTCGAGCAATTCCACAAATTGTGGTGTTAACAAAAGTTGTGTGCCGCTCCACAAAGGGGTATACCTGGCCATTTGGTCAATAATTTTGTGCCCCGCTTGTGGTCAAACCCTGCTACATGCTCTTGGGCATACCCTCCAGAGGGTATTGCGTAAAGCTATTAGAGCAGCTTTTGCTTAATTGGAGACAATAAACCGTCACCTTTACAAGTAACCATCTTGTAAGACCACTAAAACTGCACGCTTTTCAAAAAGTTGTCTTGTATGGTTAAAACCTGCTTTAAAACCCGCATTACAAATCTGCATCACCTTATCAAATTGAATTCAATATCTTACTTTAGTAAACTGAACTAGAAAATTCAGGAACCTTTTTTGTAATTTATATTGACATATCTCTAGAAGAATCTCGGTTTTTCTGATGCATGCAATTACTTAAGATTCTAGCAAGAGCACCTCTTTCCAAAGGTGTTTTTCAATGGTATTAGTTAAATAAATCAACCCTTGTCCTTGGTTCTACCTAAAAATGAAACCTACTGGCCAAAGGCTAATTTATATGAATCAAAAGAAAACTGCACCAATTATCTCATCTGATTTTATCCTGCCTTTTTGAGATTGTAAACATAAGAGAGCAAAATTGGCATAAATGGAAAGCAAAGGTGATGGAGGAACTGGATGATAAAATTGATGAACACATGGGTGAGCAAATGGGAAAGAAAAAAAGGCAAGAAAGGAGAATTGAAATTAAGGTAGTTTATTATTCTATTTATTCATCAGCACCAGCTTGGGCCAACCTAAATAAATTTTTCTCTACCATTGTCTTTGAATGTATGCTGTTCTGCAAAGGTGTTAATGGGTGGTTTCAAAAAATAGAATATAATGAAAATCTGAATAAGGATATGAAATGTTTTTCTAGAGGTTTGCAGTTGCCTACCTTGGGCATATGGCAAGCTGGCTGACCAATACAAGGCAAGCTGGCTGACCAATACAAGGCAAGCTGGCTGACCAATACAAGGCAAGCTGGCTGACCAATACAAGGCATTAGCCACTGAAATGTTGCAATGCATATCCTATCACCCAGTGACACAATGGAACCATCATATTTGTCATGTACATTGCAAACCTTAATTGCCACAAGAAATATCATATCATCAAATTCTGCCTTGACAATCTTAGTTAGAAATGGTACAAATAAATGTATTCACTCTCATTCACTCTATTAAGAAACATTACATTCAAATAAAAGTAGTGCTGCTTCTTAAAATCTGCCAATATTTAAAACATACTGACATTCTTCATTTCATAAATCTTCAAAATATCAAGTCTATTGACAACTAAAATATTAAAAGAAATAAGCTTACTCTTTATACTGCTTGCAACTACCTTTCCGTCTAAAGCTGCTTTTGCTACTGTGAGTATCGTTCCCTAGAACAAAAAATGTATACCAACGCTTGTAATTCCCATAAAGAATTGGAATAACAACCAAAATTTTTTATCAGTTCAATGAAAGCTAGTTAATTCTTTTGAGATCATGGAAGATAAGTACCTTATAGACACTACCATGAAACAAAGAATATGTGAACCATTTTTTAAGAAAGAACAATGCTACTAAAACTTATAGCCACACTAAAAATAAAGAATTTTTGGCAAAAAGAAATCTTTTCAAGTTACCATGTAGCCAGTCTTATTCATGAAAAGTAACTGTAACACGACTGAAGGTGTAACTGATTGTGTAAATTAAGAGGTTTTTTTTTACAATGTTCTGTAGTCAAACCTAAAACAATTCTGAAAACATGTTTTTAAGACTCTTTCACCTAGCAACTGTGTTCAGCAAAGCTAAACTATTTTACTTCATTTAAAGGTAGTACATCTCTCAGTTCATTGGTTTATCAAAACAAAGGACAACATTTCTATTTCAGTGAGTTTTCATTTTGTAACAAAGGACGCTTAATGATGCTAACGATGAGTTGTTCTAATTTGTCATGCTTCTCTACTTTCGAGGACCCTCGAAATTCAACAAAATGAACAGCGCAACACACTGTCTTTAACTGTGTGGACTAAAGCAGAAAATATTCAATCTGCTAGTGTCTTCATTATTATCAATAAAACATAAATTTCTTCTTTTATACACTAAGTACACACTTCTTTGTACATTTAGCCATTAGGAAATTATAAAAGTTGTTATGATTTGTCAAACTAGATTCTTTTTGAAAAAGAAATATCATCTAAATTGAAGGGCATTACAGTATCATGCTCAGAAAAAGATTCTTCAAAGCAGAAAAAAATGTTTTGCTTTCCAAATATAAAAAAATGTTCAGGGTTATCAGCTTATCATGCTCTCTTGCATTTTAGTACTTCCAAACTAAACTTACACTGTCGCAATAATCCAGTAAAATTCAGCCTGTTTTTGTTTGCTCATTTAATAGTTTAATTAAAAGACTCATTGTCATAAAAAGACTTTGCCTTTACCTCTTGCAAACTGATTCCTGGAAGTTTCTCTTCAAATAATGACTTTCCAGTTTCTGTTGACTTGATAGTTGTCTCCTTAGCTGTAAGAATTTAGACAATATCAAAATTTTAATGGATATGCATAATATGTTTTTGTTAGACAGTACTTACATATTGATTAATGTTGTAACCTAATATATTTATGTGCAAGTTACGTCTATAGCCTAGTAAAAGGCCATTTTTTCTTAAGCCAGAAAGAATATACATCTTCTCTGGGTTTGGTAAAAGTTGAATCTTCTGCACTGAAAGCTGTTTCTATCATAAAATCAAGTCAATAACAACTCATTTTATCAAGACAGTATGAAAAGCAGGTAACAATTTGGTCTAGCCCTTTGGTCTAAGAAATCTGGATTTCGGTTTGATCAAGGATTATATAAGAATTGATAAATTTAAGAAATGAAATGGTGAATTTGCACCAGTCTCAGTACATACATAAGAAAGAAAGAATTATGATCTGTTTATTATTTCAATTGCAAAGGCTACAGAAAAGCCTTTTATACATATCATCTAACTAAACTAATAAGATTATATAGATTCTTTAGATGGATTAAAAAAACTGTCTAAGTTTGATAAATTTTGTTGGAAATTTTTCAACAACAGCAGCTGTTCTCCTTTCATTAAATTCAAAAAGTTTATTTCAAATTTTTGGAAAAATGCCTTTTGGTTTCTTTGCATACCAACTGAAGTCATATGCTGAAGTCTATTTCAACTGAAGTCATTTTGACAAATATCTTGATATTTGACAAATATCCATAGTAAATGCAAAATTTTTCCCAAAATTAATTTTGGAAAAAATGGTTTGTCGTATTGGTAAAAGAAACCATAAATTCAGGAAATTCACAGATTTCATAAATATTTGTTTGTCTTGATGCAAGATAGAGTGCTGAAAAATACAAGGGGCTAAGAAAAAGCTGACAATTATATCAAATTTTGCTGGGCAAAATACACAGTTCACCCATGGATGCGCGTAAATTATTACTTGAAAAAAAGAGCAGTTGAATTTGTCACAACTCTGTTAGGTTTCTGTTGCAAGTAGACCTAGGACTCCCATTTGCAATAACAGATATGACTGTCAAGGGTTTATCAGTGGCTGACAATCAGTTTTAAAAAATATGTGTGGTAACATTTCCTTTGAGTATCTATTTTAAAGTGATATAGCAGGGTTGTTTTTATCTTAATTCATGTCTACCCAGTTTTATTCCCTGTGAGAAGTACTTAAAGCACTTGCTGCTATGATCTGCCATAGACAAACTATTCTCCTTAATACTTATAGTGCAACGTGACCTGGTGCTAGTCCCTTCCTTGTTTTGTACTGAGGGCATTCTTAATAGTTTTGGGCCTTTGTGTAAGGATAGCTGTTTCTGTTTTTTGCTTACAGGGCCCAAAAAATCATTGTTGGAAAATATCATCATCTTCCTGCAGCTCAAATTATGTACATGCTTGCATATCCCTCCTCTGAACTGACTTTTTTTGTTGATGGTACTGTTATAAAATAAAGAGCTTCAAAAATCCCTAGAAATGGCTTTGGAAAAGAATCACGAGAAACATGTGTTTGGAATTCAGATGAGGAAACCAAAGAGTTTGGAGTAATCTATGATTATGTTATGTCTATGCAGACAAGAATTCAGTGGAAATGAGTTTCCTCCAAACTCATGGCCCAAACCCTTTCATTTGCCAAAACCACAATTTCATTTGCTAACAGGATTAAAACCATACTTTTATGGCAATCAAACCATTAGTGTAGCTGTCTTTTCAGTTGATGGTTGTTTTGGAGAAATATGTAGCCAATTGGTATCAAATTTCATGCATAATAATTCATTCAGATATCAAGGTGTTGTTACACAAGAGGATGTCTCAAATAATGAATAATAGATGAAACTTGATGGATGTTAAATATCATGAAAATGCTTTAAAACAATAAACAACAACAAAAAATTTTGCAAATGTACATAAAATAGAAATATGATTTTGTAATTTTTACACTGCCATAATCAGAAACCTGTGGGTCTTCACCTCAGAAATGGTGGGTTTGTTTTACTTATCAAACACTTTGCCAATGGAAGTGACCAGGAAATTCTTTAATTGCCATGGGCATACTAGGCTTATTGGGTTCATTGGATACGGAATTAGCTAAATGGTCCAAGACAAAAAAAGTTAAATCAATATCTTTAGGTATCCCCTACAAAATACTGAAAACCTAGACCATTGGTTACAATTAAAATCTCAATGGTCAATAGAGGCATTTAAACCTTTATCTTTAGTTACCTGACTGATGAAAAGGATTCCTTTAAGACTTCCTATGCTAATAAAAACAGTAAATCTAAGCATTACACTTTTATCTTTATTGGATAGTGGAAAAATTGCACAAAATAGGCCTAAATCTAGCTGCAATGTATGATTGTTGTCATATTCTTGAATTTATTGGTCAATGCGGTATGGAGAATTAAGGTCGCTCAGCCAAGCAAAGATTTGGAACCTATGCTGTAAATATATAAATTTTGAAGATGCGATGGCATTAAGCACAAAATTAAATGATGATGATCAGTTGCCTGTTGATTATGAAAGTTGGAGTAGCACCTTAGAACTGCCCTGTTCTATACAGCAATTAGTGTTTACAGCTCTGCCTCAGCTTTGAGCACTTTATGACAGACCAGTAAACAGTTTTTTAAATATATACCTATATTGGTGAGTTGAGATGGATTTTCAGTAAAATTTTACAAAAAAATACACATATAATTAATGTTTTAGAGATTTAAAAAGTCTTATATGAAATATCTAGGCCTGAATATGTATGAAGTTTAAAAAGTTAAGTTAAACTTATCTAGCCAAGTAAATTTGGAAAAATTGAAACAAGAACTTGAAGCTCTCTTTTAATAATCTGCCAAGTTTAGTTACCAAATTTTGACAATTAAACACCACTTTTCAATAGGGAAAGAAAGTTCCTGCAACATCAACAAAGCACATGTATAATTTGAATATGAAAAAATATGAAATCTTGTGTGGATTAATTGCCAAAAAACTTTACTTGATTTACACACGCAAGTATATTTTGACATTTAATGCAGTCGAATATAAATGTAATATGAATTAGGACAACTGCTACTTCTTATGTTAATTGGTAGTCATGATAAGCATTATAAATTATCGTCATTATGTTTAATAATCTCAAGGATGGATGACTCTTGGCTTGCTGTTTTTAAGATCATTTTATTTGGTATTATGCTTTTGATTTTCAAACATAACAATATTGACCACATCGACTTTTGGGTCTGCGTGCATCATGTCGTCAAGGGTCTAACAGAACTTAATTACACACGGCGGTGGGAACAGGATACTTTTTGTGTAGTTTTGCGATAATCCGAGAATATATCAAAACTGATAACCTTAAAAACTTATTTTTGAGTTGCAGGCTAACTGCGATCGCAGTGATGTGAAACCTGACGGAGAAAAGTTTGAATATGATTACAAAGGCATGAAGTGGGGAAAAGGTTCCTGCGCGTGGTCGAGGTCTGGGCCTATCAACTTGGGGCCTACAAACAAACAGACAAGGGTGGTGTAGATAAATCAAAAACATAACTGTAAATTGAGTTATACCTGAACTATCTACAAAGAGTCTTTGCACAGCTCCTCCAGGATTGGCCATCTATCTCTTAAAAATGGAATCGGGTAACTTATATGCAACGTAAACGCATTTTGAGGAGGCAACCGACCAAATGGGAATTTCTTTGTTTGCTACCGGAGAATCCGAACTATCACATTCAGTCGGTGGCAACGATGTAGACCAAATACAGAGTCCAAACAGCTGGAAAATTTCCTGAAGTTTGCTGCTCGATATCCTTTGGTATGAATGCGATATATCAGTTAATCAGGAGCAAAAAGGTTTAAAATTGACGAGATCTTATACCTCGCTCTATCACCTATCTTCTTGTGCAGATCCCAATTCCCCGTACAAACGAGATTCGCGGCGGGGACGAAAGGAGGCACCTGATTGGTTAAAGATCCATTTCCTGCGATATACGCATGCGCACACTAAATAACACGATATGTCACTGGCTAGGCCATGTCGTGGCGGGAAAACGCTCCGCGGAAAGGAACGAACATACGCCGTGGCAGTGAATCAATTCATCTGCTATTTAATTGCCTTATTTAGAGTCTTTCCAAAATAAGACGTATCAATCTCTTTCAGCTAGGTAAATATTCATCAAAGATAAACGAATACTATGAATTTTTCCATTTTAGTTCAAAAAGTTGAAAATTTGAACGAGTAGATTATTCTCAGTAGAAAAGCTCCATATACAGATATACATGCATCTTTCAAAACTATTAATAAGTTTGAGCATTTTTTAGATTTTCTTCCTGGCAAAAAGAAAATATCCAACCTCGGAACCGAAACCTTGATATGAGAAGAATCATTTCACCAATTTGAAAATGAAGGGGTCAAATTATCTTCTAAAAAAAAGTCTTGAAAGGGCTCAGGAAAAAATTAGAATTATAGTGTCTTAGGGATGGCCAGAAATTGTATATAAAATTGATTTTGACTAAAGGAAAATCCGAGACAATATATATTCAAGCTTTGTTTTTAATGCGTTACCCTGGGTACCAGAACTGCAAAAATTTAAAGGCAGCAAGCAGCGAAAAATTAGTAGCTCTTGTACCCAGGGTATCAATGCTTCCAGCTAGGAGGATTTGTTCTTTTTTCAAGAATTTTGGCCGATTAAAAGGAAAAAAGAGAGAGTTTGAAGTAAGAAGGAATTTGGAAATTTTTTTGAAGAGATTGATAGGAAATTGTTGAAATGCATTTAGAATAAATAAATTGCATTTCCCTTCAATAAGAGGGTCAATTAGACAAGAAGGGCTGCAAATTTGGCAAATTCAAACGGCGCTATGTTGTTTAAGTTTATTCGGTTGGTTTCAATTACCCTGGGTACCAGACTCACTCTATATACAGTAAGAGCCCCCGTGGCGCCGCTACTGCTGCACATAACCTGAAAATCTATTTTTGTGCAAAATCAGTTAAATGTGTTAAAAACAGGCTGTGATATAGCAACATTAGCACAAGCTCTTGCCCCGTCAAATCACAGTAATTTCGTCTCTGCCCTAAACTTGAATCCACGCCAAAAAGCGGAAATCTGTAACAAACTCCCAAAACTTAGCATTGTTCATTGGTCGTATCTTTGCCCATTTCGTCACACAATGAACTGATTTTGTATGTTCAGAGGTAATTCGTGATCTATTAGGATATGTGGTCCAAAGTCAAAAGCTCCAAAGGTATATTATCAAGACTTCAGATTTACGCAGGGCCACCGAGAGAGATAGGGGTGTAACGGAGGGGGGGGGGCAAATTTCACCAGAGCCTCGAGGTCTAGGAGGCCTCATAAAATAATTAATTCCATTTTAAGAATAAAATTAAACACGTGTAGCAAAACTATGCCAAAACAGTAAAGCCTTCTAAACGATTGCAAAAATGATTATATTTCAAGTTAATCTATAGGGCGTGGTCCCAAGAAGTTTGTGCTCTCTCCTCTAGCAGGGGGCCTCGTCTTTTGCTTTTCCAATTAAGAACTCTATTGTTACTACCCACCAATCCTAAATGTTTCGAAAGTTTAAAAAAGACTTGAAACTAAACAGTGAAGAAGTTTCAAAACTAATCAAAAGAAAATAACTTTCTCAAAGCTCTTGTGTTCAAAACAACGCAAGAAACAATTTCTTTAGTTAGGTGCCAGCGATTATAACGCACAGAGGTCGTTAATTCCTGCAAATCAAGTAAAAGGAAAATTTAAAAGATTTTTTGTCCCTTTTGTAAGGAATCTTTAGAAAATTTAAGGATTTTTTTGGGAAATCAGTTCAGCAAACAGTGGAAGCGCTGTTTGTTTTGTCAATATGTCTCATAGTCTTGTCTATCGTTATGTTGACTTGAAATAGGAATGGCCTTGCAAAGTATGAGAATATAACTTTCATATAGCTCGTAATGAAACTATTTCTAGATTTCAAGAGTACCAAGAATAAGATGGGGAAAAAATAAATGAAACATGGTTTTATAAAAAGCATTAACATTTAAATATCAACAGAAGAACTTTCAACTAAAAATAAAAGATTAAGCAAATAAAGTGTTTTTAACACAAAAATTCTCCAGATTTGAAAAACTTTCTAACTGTGCTGCTCAAAACGTGCTTTGATAGAATTTATAACTACATCTAAATTTTCATTTTTATATCAGAAATGGATTATCGATACGATCAAACTTTGAAGTTTTCTTGATGATATCTTTAAAGAACAAATACTAAAATTTCAGACTAAAACTGCTAAATCTTTAGCAGTTGGAGTCCCACAAGAGTGTATCCTTGGACCCCTACTCTTTTTAATTATCGTAAACAACAACCCTGATTGTATCAAGTCCTGCGAAATATCTTTATATGCAGATGGCACTGTAGTATATTTTTCCTCATCAAACATGTCGGCACTCAAAGAAACTCTGAATGACGATTTCAAGCTTTTATGCATTGTAAGTGGTTTAACAGCAATCTTCCAACGCTCAATACAGAAAAGTGCAATTTCGTAATTTGGCAGCTCGCACAAACTCAGCACTTATTACTGTATCTCACAAGAACGCAACGGCCAATCTTTAGATCGCAAATAATATTTTAAATATTTAGGCGTGAAGTTAAACAAAAGCATGACCTGGACTGATCACATCGGCATGTTTAGCAAAAATGGTTCACCAGAGACTTGGAGTACTACGCCGAGTGAAGTACCTGCTATCTCTGAATGCGTATTTGACTCTATATAATTGCCTAATACAACCTATCTTCGGTTATTCCGACATAGTTTTTGGGGGGGGGGGGGCAAGAATAACGAGGTTCTCATGAAACAATTACAGACTCTCCAAAATAATGCGGCACGGACCAAATTGGTTCAACCAAAGTACTACTCAGGCTCTACAAAACGTATCCTGGGATCCTCTCTCTGTTCACGGACAACGCCATCGCTGTATTGCTGTCTACAAATGCTTACGCAACCTTATGACTATGAGTTCCACTTTACCAAAATCAATCCATAAACAATCATAACACACCCTTCCACCATGACGTTTTTTAATTCTTCTTTCACAAATTATTGCAAATTTTTAGTAACGTCTTTCAACTTCGAAATAATATCTTTATTTTGAATTTATGTAGCATTTACAATTAATTTTAACAAGACCCCCCTAAAAACACTTCGGTGATGAGAGCTTCCTGCATAATAATTGCTAATATAGCTATTGTCATTAATATTCTAATGAACGCCGCCCTCTGATAAACGCCGCCTTCTATTGAACGCCGCACTTTCAGCCAACCCTTTGGAAAAAACGCTGCCCTCTATTGAACACCGCCCTCTATTGAACGCCGCAACTTGAAAAGCGGCGTTCATTAGAAAACGCACCAAACAAGAAGTAGGGAATCGTTTATACGCTTACTATTCGAAAGCCATGAAAGCTTTTACTCACAGAGACGAGTAATTTGACGGAGACGGGGATATTGACATTCCTTGACTTGACATTCATTTTATCTTTTTTCATCGCATTTTTCTTGTCATTTTTCATTTGATAAACTTTTCATTTTGTTTTCAACGCCACCCTCTGATGAACGCCGCATCCTAAATTTGCAGTTTGTGATAAACGCCGCGGCGTTCTTTAGAGGAAATACGGTACGCCCTGACTTTCTTCTCAAAACTAAGAGAAACTGTCTGTACGATTTAGAGCTAATCATAGGCTTTGAAACAAATCTCCACTGCAATTCTAACAGAAAGTCAGAGAAATATGCCACTCTCATATCTGACTTAAAACGTCAGTTTAAGAAAATCGCATTTGTCAATCTTTCCATTAGTTCACTAGGTATTTTTAGCAACTCCTGCAGCTCATTCATCGGCTTGTATAACTCTTTGTCCATTGATTATCAACAGAAACGCTATCTCATCTCCAAAGTTTCAAGCATCTCTATTCGCACCACACACTATAGAAACATAACTTAGATTAACCCAGAGCTACTCCCCTTTTAACATTTTTTTCTTTTCTCGTTACTTCTATTGTAAGAGTCTTATTTTGTAAAAACAGGCTAGCCAGTTAGAAATTACCTTATAATAGAGTTTGTAAATGTATTTTTAACTGGAATTCAAAATGAAAAGTTTCCGTTATTATTATTAACAAATCCGCCCATTCTTTATTTCTCATATCCTCAAAAATATTCTTTCCATCTGTTTCTTTTTCTTTTGCAGCTGATTTCTCTCTTTTTGAAATGCTATCTTGTTGTAATGTTTCTTTAAAATGTTTTTTAGGTCTTTTCGTAGTACACGCCTAAAGATACCTTTGTTGGGCTTGTTTAGGCTATCTCCAACCTCCGTGCTCATTTTGGTAAAAAAAACCACGCTAAATTCAAATATTTTAAATGGTTAGTCATCGAAAATCAAAATCTATATTTTGCTCTTATAATTTAGGATCAAGAAATTGGCAAAGCTAGTATTACTTCACTACTAGTGGCTGAATGACGTCTTCGTTTGCTTCACATTCTTATTTGTCCATTTCTTTTCACATTCCATCTGAATCTTCTAATAAAATTTTGTCGCCGCTCATTGCCAATGCCTCGTATGTAAGAAACATTTGTTAGTATCAATTTACTTATTCGCAGCAATTTTTGACGTGATCAAACTTTAATCTCGTGCATTGAATCTATCAGACAGTGATGGAAATGAATCATCAGCATCTTTTGCAGTAACAATAATGACTTTCCCCAAAAGAAAGCGACAAATGAACACAGAAAATAAATAAACAAAAATAACAGATGAAAAATTTATGAAAAGTTCGCTTTATCGAGGGTATTTATGACGAAGGGACCCAGAATTTGGTTCGTAATATCGAGAGTTCGTTATATCCGGGGTTCGTTATACCGAAATAATTTGTAAAGACCTTGTAAGGCAGAATCTAAGGGACCAGACATTTAGTTCGTTATACCGGGAGGTTCGTTATACCCGGGTTCGTTATATCGAGATGCCACTGTATGTCTCAATGGCAATTAAAAGCAAACAAGTTAAAGCTCAGCGTATATTTAAGGGATAACTAAGCACAGAGAATGATATAGTACATTACTATCCACTTTTGCTTCATGATTGTTCTTTGCTGTGCAGAAAAGTGGGGCAGGGATATCCCCCTCGTCGTCCGGTTTCGCCGGTCCTGCAAGGGCAGATAGGAAATGACTGCGTAGCAACATAATTCATCTTTGCTGGTTTGTCCCTTTTACAAGGACGCTAGGAATTCTATTTCATTTGTGATTTATTCAAAATTTCCTAGATCTGTGCAATGAAATTATCTGGGCCTAAGAAATTACATGTTTAAAATAAATCCCAAATGTACGACCATGTTTGGTTTCAGTAAAGTCGATACCCCAAAATTTATTTTCTACTTTAAAAAAGATACCCCAAAAATGGTACATCCACTACCTGTGCACGTGGAAGTTACACCCCCTGGACCTGTCAAGATTCGTCTTGCTAACTTTCCTTACATACAAATTAATAAGTTGAAACAGAATATGTACCCGACACCAGGAGTGTAATGCCAAGGGAGCTAGGGAGGCTCAGGGGGTGAGCCCCACCGAAAAGCAGCCAACTTATACTTTTGCTATTGTTTTGCTATAACAAAGAAGCTTTTATTTTATCAGAAGTCAATTACAACATTAAAAAGAAATGATTTCAGTTACCGACCAAAGAAGATGTCGGACTAGTATCATAATTTGATTCCTAACGTTCTCAAACAAGATGATTAATCATTCCAAATTTTCCTAAAATTTTTCGACCTTATAATTCATGCTGATAAAAACTACACCTTTTGTGTTTGCAATCAATAATACTTGAAATCCTTCATCACAAGCTTGCCAAACTTTAATTCGGCAAGTTTCTGGAGTGCCTTGTCCTTGCTGTCTTTTGTCATTCGTTCCTATGTTTTGATCAAACTCTTATACTTTTCAATGCTTCGTATTGCTCCGTAACAAAGTTAGTCTCCAAAAAGTCTGACATCTACAACGCAAGGGTAATTTTACTTAAATCTGTGCAGTGGTTAAAGGAACTTACTCATAAGGCACTGCTGATCGTAAATTCTTTTTTATATATAAAAAACCATTTGTAAGAAAACACATCTTAAAACTACCGAAAATAAAGAAGTCATAGCATTGATCAAGTTTAAATTTACAAAATTGCTTGTAAACCCTTCTTTTAATAATGAGATGAAAGTGATTCTTTTAACGACTTGGCATCTATTTCCTGTTTAATTGACATCGATAAGTAGAAAAGAGCTTGGGATTCTTGTGGCTTACTAGGTGTTTTTCTAATGTTATGTCATGTTATATTTTGTGTTCATGTAACATTTAGCATTGAAATCAACAAAATATTACGAGTCTGAGTGCTCAGTTCCAACTTGCTTTCTTCAAAAAAGTTTAACTTAAACTAAAAACTAAATGAAACTAAATGCACATGGATTTCGTTTGATTTCGTTTGAAAGAACCTTGAATGTTAGAACTGCAAGAGCTCACTTCAAGATAATTGCCTAGAGACAGCATTCAAAATAAATATTTTAAATTTTGCTTACAGGTGCTTAACGTGCAAAATATAAACATATAAATGATCATTATCTTAGCTATATTGCTGTCATATTCATAAACAAGAATATGGGAGTCTCAATGAGGTAATTTTCCCCCTAAGTTAGAGGCATGAAAACATATACCAAAGGCTTCAATGGCCAGTTTATCGATAAGTTATTTCGTTATCATAATTGGCAGAATAAGGGACAATCATTTTAACAGATTGAGGTAAAACTCGTGTACAAAAGTCCATTGATATACGATGCAAGTCGAAGCTGGTATTTCCTTTCCACTTTTTATCTTTCATCTTTCATCACAAACATGAGTCAGGAATATTTACAAACATCTGCTTTGATATGACATTTTAATATTTTCATTGGATTCGAGATGTTGCTTTGAAAAGATTTGTTTTAATAACGGCAAAACTTTCTACGTTAATCAACCATCCCCCGTCTTTTTGCCAAGAGGTAAATGTTTAGGAACGCGAATTTTTGTTGAGCGGCGTTACCTAATAGTTGTGTTTCTGTGACGACCCTCCATTGACGAGTAGAACTTCGATGTAGTCTTATTTAACGTGCAGAGAACACGGAGAAACCCGGCTCGACGATCCGACAATCGCCTCGACGAAACAAAGGTACCCATTATGTCCAGTACATTTCGGAGCCGTGAAAAACAGAATAATTATTCTGATCATATAAATTGTTTGTGATAAAGTTTTCATTTTCTTCCTTTGCTTTATCAAATTCAGCGCTATATTTCTTTCTATTGTCGTCAGTTTTTATAGAAGTTATCAACTACTAATGCAGATTCGTACCTCTTGGGAGAGGATCCATTCCGTAACCAAACAGTAACCTAAAGTATGGTTTCGTACGAGTGGCGAAAGTGAAGAATCCGGTTCGGATAATCCGATTAACTTCGTGCCATACACTTCGAAGAGCATCAACGAATCACAGGTCACCTTCGGTCAGGGAACGCTCTCCTAGAAATATGACATAAAGCAAAACATGGTACCTCTTCGGTTTGTTCATATCCAAGTGTCTGAAAAAATTTCTGGTCGGTCGATCGAACGCTCTGCGGGGCACCTATGGCCTTTGCCACCTATATAAAATTTCCAAGGTAAATTAAAATGGTAGGTTGATCGAATGCTCTGCGGGGCACCTATGGCCTTTGCCACCTATATCAAATTTCCAAGGTAAATTACAAAGGTAGGTCGATCAAACGCTCTGCGGGGCACCTATGGCCTTTGCCACCTATATCAAATTTCCAAGGTAAATTACAAAGGTAGGTCGATCAAACGCTCTGCGGGGCACCTATGGCCTTTGCCACCTATATCAAATTTCCAAGGTAAATTACAATTGTAGGTCGATCGAATGCTCTGCGGGGCACCTATGGCCTTTGCCACCTATATCAAATTTCCAAGGTAAATTACAA